CTGCAACGAGATCTTCCTCCGTGAGATTCACCTGGGCCTTCTCATCTCTGATCTTGCTGCGACACTCAGCAGTCTTGTGACCATTTTTGTGACAGTAGTGGCACTTTCCCTTGAATTTCTCCACATTCTCATTGTTTTCATTGCCTTTGCCTTTCTTCTTGAAGTTTGGTCCAGAAACCTTCAAGTTTGCAGCTGTCTTCGAAGGCTTGGCAGGGGAGTTAGCAATTGCCTTTCCTTTACCTTTCGTTTCAGCCACATTAACACTGTGCTCTTTAGCTTCGAGCTTGTCATTCTTTCGGTTTTTGGCTTCCATCTGAAGCCTCTGAATGAGATCCTCAAGTCCCATCTTCTTCTTTTTGTGCTTCAGGTAATTCTTGAATTCAGCATAGCTTGGAGGAAGCTTTTGGATGAGGCTGAGGGTTATGAATGTCTCATCTATGGATATCCCCTCAGCAGCAATTTCATAGCAAATGAGCTGATACGCTCCACCTGATCCATGATGGGTTTTGAATCCACCATTTTGAAGTCATGGAATTTTGCAACTACATACTTCTGGCAGCCAGCGTCTTCACCTCTATACTTCTTATCCAGCGATTTCCAGAGCTCTTTAGCCGTTGGAATCTCACAATAGACTTGGTACAATGGGTCAATGAGACGACCCAAAATGTAACCTTTGCAGATGAAATCCGAATGCACCCAACTTTCAACACTTGAGAAGACGTGCATATCGTCAATCCCGTGAGGGATAATGGGCTTATCTTCCTCGATGAATTTGTCCAACTTGCACAAACTGAGGAAGAACAGCATCTTCTTCTGCCACGTTTTGAAGCCTTTGCCATCAAATTTGTCTGGCATCATATTCTTAGAAATGACACCAGGAATAGCCGGAGGAGTCGCAACTGCAACCGGAACACTTGTGGATCCTTGAATTGGACCCGTTTGATAAAGACCAGCACCGAACAGGCTACGGCATGTGGTCTCATCAGGAACAGCACCCAATGGAAGGGTTGCATCGGTTGATACAGCGTTCGTCACGCCGGTTGCAACAGGTGCTGTCGCATTGAGTGGAGTCTGAGTGGCGAGATCAATGGGGGTGTTATCATCGTTCGTCATTTTTTCTATAAAGAAAATATGAAAAACGGATCAGTACTCCATACAACGATTCAACTAACATATTATTTTTAAGCAAAAAATAATAGTGTAAAATCGATTTTCATTTTTGGTAATTGAACCAAATCATTTCGATAGAAGTCTGGAAAAACGTTCGCAGAAACAGTTTAATGTAGACTTAGAATGTTTCACAAATTTACTTAAGAAAGTATCTGTGAAACGATTCATATATTAACGTTTTGAAAGAAACAAGTAACTAAAGCGTTTCGCGGATGATGCTATAAGCAAACCGCAAATCGTTTTGAGATAAGTAAGAAACGTTTCGCGGAAATGATAAAACCAAATCGCAAACATCGTTTTGAAGACCGTTTCGCGGAAGTGCTATAGAGCAAATTGCAAACACGTATAGTAGACAGATAATAAACGTAAAACGTTTCGCGGAAGTGCTATAGAGCAAATCGCAAACACGATTCCAGAATCCGTTTCTATACATCGCTTTTTTCAACCCGATTAAAGCTTTAGACAGAAAGCGATTAAGAGTTAAGATTGTAGAAGCCGGAAAACCGGATCGACATGAATGATATAAGAAAGACGGAGTTAAGGAAATAAACGATTATATAAGACATGGAGGCGAGATAAATCTCTTTCCTTAACTCTTAATATTCGCTCCGTAGTGAGACGAAACTGTACGAATATCGAGCCCCAGGATACAACCATGGCAGACGAATCACGCTTCACTCGTGAATCGACCTAACGAACATAAATTCTACGAACACTCTCTGAAAACTTACGCTGAGAGATTGGTGGATTTTTTCTGTGTAAAAAAACGATACTAAATGAGAGAGGAGAAGACGAGTTTATAAAGAGGAGAAAGAGATTTGATTTTCGCAACTGTTGCACCACGTTAGCGAAAATCTCTCAGAAATCTCGGGAGTGGAGTTGAGAAACTTTCTCCGCAAGATCTCTCCTTTGTTGACTCGTTCTGATTCATTTCGAACTGATAAACTCCATGTTGTTTTTTTTCTTTTATATACAAACTACATGTCGTTTATACACGAACGTCGTGTTGTTTTTTGAAATTTAAATGACAAAATGTGAGCTTAATTTGGTCCAAAAAGATAGCTTCTTATCTCCAATAAAGCCCAAGCCGAGCCGGCCGGACGGCGGCGGCGGCGCACGTGGGTATTCCTCTCTTCCTCTAAGTTGTTTAACCCATGGTGTCAAGGGAACATATATATAATGCTCACTTCTTCTCAAGATGCCCGATGTGGGACTTACTCTCTTCATTTACACATAATTGAGGCCACTTAATGGCCCATTAATTCTATTCACACTTTTAAAGCCATGGGCTTTTAATTATAGATCCAACATTGGTACTGCAGTTCCTAGACCTTACGGAATGGTTAAACTATTTTGTGTCAACAGGTATTATTAGGGATGGGCACTTTACCCGATACCCGAATTCGTACCCGAACCGACCCGAAATATCCGAACCGAAATCCGAACCGAAGTAGCAAAATATCCGAACGGGTATTGAGTTAGGAGAGTTTGGATATCCGAACCTGAACGGGTAATACCCGAACCCGAACGGGTATCCAAAGATAACCGAACATATATATATATATATACCTATTTATTCCTAGATTATTTGTCTCATTTTATTAAAAATATCTATATTAATGTTATATATAGTTTAAGATCAGATAATATACATATAATTGTAAAAAAAATTGATTTGTTACTCATTTAAAATGCATATTAAGCTTCTTATTTCATATTTTAACAAAATTTGCATCCAAAATTAGAAATAACAACCAAAATAATGATTTTTATTTTCAATAATTTATTTTCAAACTTATTAATCTTCCAACTTATTAAACATTTAAAAAAGGTTAAGTAGATAGTTAAATTTTTAAATACATGAAACTTAAGTAATGAAGAATTTGAAATTTTTTTTTCAAAATCTAAATATCCGAACCCGACCCAAAATAACCGAACCCAAACTAAAAATATCCGAACCCGACCCGATATGTAAAAATACCCGAACGGGTCCTAAACCCCAATACCGAAATACCCGAAAACCCGAAATACCCGATCCGAACGGGTACCCGAACGCCCACCCCTAGGTATTATCCTGCTGCTGCTCCTATGCGTCCTGCATGCCTATGCCTCCTCCTGGACCTACTCCTCGCCCACAACAATGGTATCCACATAATCCAGCGGTTTCTGTTCCGCCACCTTCCCATTTAGGGTGGCAACAACTCTTTCCGGTTCATGGCATGGGGATGACTATGCCAACATCATCCCCCGCGATGCCGGTTTCTCAACCTCTGTTCCCCATCGTGAATAGCATCACTCCTTCTCAAGCTTCACCGTTTTCTGCTCCCCTTCCAGTTGGTGAGGCTCAGCAGCCGTCATCAGTGAATGCATATCCGCCTAACAATTCTTTTCAGTGAATGCATATCCGCCTAACAATTCTTTTCAAGGTTCAGTATTTAGTTCCTTACATTCGACTCGGCTTGTTTTGTTTTAAAACTTAAAATCTCTCTTCTATGTTTGTTGCAGTGGGTGAGACTAATTCTCAGTCGTATGCTTCTGGTCCAAACACCAGTGGTCTTTCGATCGGTCCACCTCCTGTGATTGCAAACAAAGCTCCTAGCTCTCAGCCTAATGAGGTATATCTTGTATGGGATGATGAATCAATGTCTATGGTTAGTTTCCTCTTATACTTGTAGAGATTGGATGAGGTGTCAATAACGAATCCTTTTTTTCATCTGACTCGACTGGGTATGTCTGTATTTTCAGGAGGAAAGAAGAATTTCCTTACCTAAACACAAGGTGCATGATGAAACTAGCCAGGTAAGTTCCTGTAAAGGAGAGTTTGCTTTGCACGTCTAACCCATTTGGTAGCTTTATTTATGCCTTCTTCTTTAACTCCAGAGCCTGTTGTCTAAGAGGTACCTTTATGAGAAATAAGCATAGGCAACAAGAGTAAGCATGTTAATCATTAATTTTGGAATGGTATCATTATGAGCTTGCGATAGTGCTTGAATTAGTAGTATTTGTATCTGCTCGTTCTTTGTTGTGTACCCTGTTTCCTCTTGTATTGTATTAAAAGTAATATGGTGATTGGTTTCCACAAGATCATATACTCAACAGGTTTGGTTACAAACCAGGTCAGCTCCTTTTTTTTTTTTTTATTCATGCTTGCAAAGTTTGGTACCTTTGCAGAATCACTGTATCAGTGGAACAATAAAATAAAACTCTTTATAGCCTACTACTAAAGAATCCAACTTCTTTTATTACTCAGAACCTGGCTTTTTTCTCTGTTGCAGATGAACTCGATAAATGAGGCCATAGACAGGCGAATCTCAGAGAGTATACTTGCTGGGCGTATGGCATTTTAGATTTTTGGCACAAAACCAAGCCAAACCTATGAGTCGAAGAAACAATCCAAGACAAAGATGCTGATGGGCTTTTGTTACAACTCTTCTCTCACATTTATTCAGGTTTTTGAGAAGCTGAACTTATGATCTGAATTTAACATATTGCCATCTAGATGAGTAATTCCTAGGTTCACCCCCACCGACCAATAGAACTTCATTGTTTTATATTCAGTATCTTCAAAAAAAAAAAAAATTATTGAGTTATACTATGTTTTTAAAATAAAAAATAAAGAAAATAAAAAATAATATTAGTTGCAAACAAAAAACTTTTTTAAAATAATATTTTTAACACTGTGAGCAAAACACTAAACCCTAAACCCTAATCCTAAACCCTAAACCCTTGGATAAATCTGTGATTTAAATATTTTTGATACTGACACCAAAACACTAAATCCTAAACCCTAAATCATAAACCTTAAACCCTTAAGTAACTCTAAACCCTTGAATTAATCATAAATCTTATGGTTTAAGATTAATCTAAGTGTTGAAGATTTACCCAATGGTTTAGGGTTTAGGATTTAGGGTTTAGTGTTTTACTGGTGGTAAAAAAATATTTTGTTTAAAAATGTTTTTTATTTATAACTACTACAATTATTGTTTATGTATTTTATCTTTTAATTTTAAAAACATAATATAATTCGATAATATTTTGTTTCCTTTTTTTAAAAGATACAAAATATAAAACAATGAAATCTTATTGGTTGGTGAACCCAAAACGTTTTCCATCTAGATATGTCAATAGACTAGTGAGTTAGTTACTATTGCGCTATTTTAGAGATCTGAGAGATATTATTTCAAAAAATGGTTTTTGTTTTAAAACAGATTCACCCGAAATTTAGCCCAAAGTAAAAAAAGTGACCCGTTACATTAACATCAACCGTACCTTCAACATCTATTTACTCCGTCTCAAACTAAAAAAATATTGAATTTTATTTGTGTACTAGATTCTGACCCGCCCTCCTTTAGAAATTTATTTTTAATCATATTTGTGCAAAATATATTTTTTTAATTATTAGCAAGATGTTTTGATAATTGTATTGAATTTGTTATGTTACATAACTATACACTTGTGCCATAGATATTTCATACATTTACTTTGTATATTATTCCTTGAAAACAAAATCTAAGTTTGAGTTATCTTAACTCTTTTTTTTGAAACAAAATCAAGGCCTATATTAAATATTGAGAATATAAAAGAGATATGGGTCATATTATAGGTAACAAATAGGAGTAACGGAAAATATATAAATATATTTAAATTCTATATTTTTTGCTATATATGTAACCCTTGAATATAGGCTTTTTATTCAATTGGTTATCGAAAATAGTTACGTCATATATTTAGATGCTATCTGCTCAAAAAATTTAGATGAAGTTATAAAAATATGTTGATTAAAGTATTTATTAAGTGATGATTTCACGTGGTATATTTAAAAGGTGGGTATCGAAATGGATTTTGTGGTATATTTAGATAATTATTTAGATGCAGTTTTAAAATAAGTTGTATTATTCATTTACTTTTATTGACAACATATAGATTTGTGTTTTTTCTCTTTTTTAAAAAATAATATGTAAACTTGACATAAGAGGTAATCTCACAAAAAATATACTACCCTATTAGTTTTTACAGCTTTTTCTCTCTCATTTATACATCATAATTGGGTTTAAAGCCTATGTTTTTAGTTTTTAGTTTTTTTTTCTCTCATTTATGCACCATAATTGAGAATCCCATTAATTATACATGAATGTTATAATTATATAGAACCACTTGTATTCACATTTATGATATTATTATAAAAGTATAAAACATATACGTTTAGTCCTTTTATCTATAAAATGTAGACATTTCTTATACTGTGAAATATATAAAGCATGTGTATCTCTTATATATTATTTACGAATTAATTTTGACATGTGTCATCACCACAATCAATTTCACCAAAAAATGATGATATGTGTACTAATAATGATGACATGACTAGAATTTAATTTTGACATGTAAATTTAAATTTAATGTTAATATATATTTTTGGTAAATTTTTAGAATATGGTAATAACTCATAAATTATCATTAACATAATATGAAATAATATAATAGTAGAAATAGAAATATAACAATATTTTTAAATTTTTAAATATGTTTCAAGTCTTTATAATTATACAATTTTTATTAATATTTTTCTTTTTCAAAATTTTCTGCAGATTAAATATTATTTAATTTTATATTTTGATAATTATATACCTAACAAATTTTTTCTCTTAATTGTATAAAATCTGATTTAACATGTTTTAACCAAAAGAGAAAAGATAAAAAAAAAATCTTTACAAAATTTTAATTTTAAATATATACATATATATTATTATATATAAATTAAAATAAAAGTTGTTTATATATTATTAAATTATTTTAAATATAATTTTATTTTTAAAATTTTTATTTCTGTATACTGCGCAGGAAAACTATTATGTATTATTCTATTCAAATAGTCTATTGTCACAATATAAAAAACGTATATGATTGTGTAGAATAAAAGGACTACAAATATGTCTGTTTTTCAAAAAATTATTTTTGTGATTAAACTAATAGTTTTTACTAATAAGGGGAAGTGGGTGGATCCTGCATAGTTTGCAAGTAAACCGGAGGTTGTAATCGTTTTTATTTTGTCAACGGTTGTAATCGTTAAATACACATTGTTGTCATTAATTATTTATATAACTAGATTTATATTTTTTAGAAAATATTGGACACAACCTTTTATCAATAGGTCATGCTGCAGAGTTAATAGAATAGATCCTCTACTCATTTGAACCAAGTAATTATTACTAATGTGACTCATAAGGATCGAATGCAAAATTAGGTTTTGTTGAAACAAACGTGGTAATCTTTAATATTTAGTTACTTTCTCATCACCCTCCACTCGTCTCCCCCAAAAAATATTGAAGTAAATCCGAAACAAAAGCGCATTTTATGGATGAACAAAGTTGATTTGGTTTAGAAGAAAAAAGATATGTTCAAGGTTTGCTGTCGAGCTCCAAATTATTCCAGCATATGAAAGGTAGATAAGATAGACTCAAGTTTCAGAACAACGAACGGGGGATGTCTCTTAAACTGCAACGAAAAACAAATTCTTTCTGTTTGGTGGTTCTAGGTACGTCATGATATCAGGACTCGAGGGATCTGGAGTTAAAGATCTCAGCCAATATTTAATGGACCAAACAGTTAAGAAACCATGGGAGGAAGATCTATTCACCATTGGTGCAGAAGCCATGAAGAACATCTCTCTTGAAGTTGTTAGGGAGAACTACTAGACCATGTTCATCTGTTTAATAATAATTTAACCTCTATTTTTATGATCTTCTGTATCAGAAATTAAACGATAAGTAAACCATATATAGGAGACTTGAGATAACACCGTTAAATATCAGACATTAGAAAATATAATCTTACTATTGTACAAACAGACAGTCAACACAGAAATAAGATAATGCAACATAATTTTATATAAGACAAGCAGTCTTAACGCCAGAAGTGGAAATGGCACGTAGTTTCTTAACTAAAAGCCTAAAAACTAACAGGCTCCAGGGAATGGGAGTGCTAATTGATCAAGAAGACTAACAACCGGTGTAGTAAGTACCGGGTCATAAGAAAAACCCTGCAGCACCTCTCCCTCTAAACCACCTGGGCCACCACTGCTGCTGCTGCTAGCCGAGTATGGACACGGTGGGACCCACAACCAACTCTTTCTCACCATGTCAAACAGCAACTGCAACGAAGCCCTTCTCAACACAATCATTACAAACTCTTGGTTTCCAACACACTCAAATCCTTTTCCACCTTCTTCCACGGCAAACTGTGTGTACAGCGGCTGAGGCATCCTCTCGATCTCCACCCACGTGGCGTTATCTTGCTGCAAACTCCAAAGCCTAAGGCTTTTAGGAACGTTAAGCTTGCTTTTCTCAACGGCTGCCACTAGAACGAGCCTTCCTTTGCTCTCTAGCAAGCTTGGAGACCGGAGAAACCTCCTCATCGGAGCTTGAATCTTGATCCAACGGTTCCCCGTAACCTCATAGCACAAAACGCTAAAAGGGCTATAGTTCATACAATAAAACTTGCCCCCCACGTAAACCATCTTACCTGATTCCAAGCTACAAAGCCGTGGCAGAGATGAAGCCATCGCCCAAAGGGAGAAGAACCCTCCGGCATCGACATGGAAACTCTCAGAGGAGAGGTTTTTCACGGCGTAAGGAGATATGAGGTCGTCTCCGGCGACGGTCACATCAATGGAAGTTGGAGTTACTGAGAGACCTATTGAAGGGAACAGCCTTGGCCTTGACATTGGTGGCAACTGACTCACTGATCCAACAAGAGGGTTACATAAGAGAATGGTTTTAAGACCAGCTTCTTCAGAGACCCAACTCACTAACCCTCCAGATGAACCTGAAGGATAAAACCCTGAAGGGAGGTAAGGAAAAGAGAGACGATACCATCTGATCTCATTAGGGTCAAACAAGAAGCCTTCAGCTTTATTGGAACCATCATCGTTCGTTCCTTCTCCTCCTCTCTTGTAGATGTAGCTTTTTAGGGTTTTGTGTTTGAAGAAGAGGAAACAGTTGTGTCGGGGAGGAAGTTGTTGTAGGTATATCTCGAGGAAAGCGTTGGAGAAAAGTAGACCGTAGAATCTTTTGCAGACGCAACGTGACCGGAAAAACGCAGGAGGTGGAAGAAAAGCGATGATACGGTCAAGAATTAGAGGAGGTAGCTTGCTCCAAATCCGACCGTCCATCCACTGACCGGAGGTTGAATCTGTGGTTGTGCTAGTGGTTGTGCTACTGTTGCTGCTACTAGTGAAGGTGTAAGAGAAAGGTAAGTGTGCAGATGGGTTATTGATGAACATATTTTTTTCCATATTGACTTTGGCATGTGAAAGATATGGTGAAAAGGGATTTGAGATTTTCTTTGTCTGAAATGGATTTGGAGTTTTGTTTTTTGGTTGGGAAAAAGGAAGATTTAGCTTTTATTGATTTTTGAGCAAGTTTTTTCTGAAAGTTACGCAAAACTCATCGTAGGTAAAAGAGGCAGAGATCATATGTATAGCTTTTGAAGAAGTAACAAAGAGAAGACAAAGTAGTTCCCTAGTCACTCTCTACTTCTTGCATGGGTTTTTGATATTCAACAGAGTAAACTGGCATATATTTATATATAAAAAATAACTTATGTATATAGTCTATTGACAAAGGTAAATGACATATGTTAAAACCAAAAACCAACGTAAACTGAATTTATACAAAACACACATATTTGTATTGAAGAATAAAAAGAAAACGTGTTTCTTCATTGTTAAAAAGGTATGTGTGAGTGTGACACACCAATAAGTATAGAAATAATAGGGGACTTTTTGTATCTGAAATTAATATTTTATTTTATAATGTATGATGACATATAACTTATTTCAGATAAGTTAGAATAATTGTTTTTCAATTAAATATTTACTGGTGTGCTAACATACATTATTTACATTTACTAGTGTGCTATAACTAAATCGGTCAAATGGAGAAGACAAGAAAAAAAAGTTATAACTCCAAAACAACTAAAATTTCTGAAGCAGTTTGAATTTGTTTCATTGTAAATTAAAGTATGTATTCAATATATATACCGGATGAATTTGGTATCATTCGAACAGTTTTAACTAAACCAAACTTCAACAAAAGCACAACTATCCAAAAAAAACTTGTTATAAAACCACAGTTTGTTTATATCAATTGACTAACAAATTTTTGTTTGTATATGTGTGGGTAAACGTGATTATGGTGGCAGAGGAAGTGATGGTTCTTAATGTTGAGAGCTACAGAGTTATCTTGTCAATGCCCAGCATCGACATTATTAATTCAGAGACTACTCCAATACTTTTCACACTTGATCACATCTTCGTCTTCTTCTTTTTTCAACTCTAGTTTTATCACAATCTACATGCACGCTCCTCTTTTTCTTTCTTTTTTTCTGTTTGATAATAACCCGAAAAACTGTACTCATTGGAGATCTAATCAGAGAATACAAAGTATATTGTGCAAGTTATTCTTGATTTAATTTTATCAATTCAAACAACCCAATTATATCATTCTCTTTGTTTTAAATGTGTTTATTTAAAGTGTCAAAAATACGTTCTTAGAGCATCTCCAAAAGACATTCTATAATTTTAAATATGGAGTTTTTGCCTCTCCAAAAAAAAACTCTAAAACTTCAAATTTGAAATTTTGAATAGTGAAACTTCAAATATAAAGTGTCACTATTCAAAACTTCAAATTTGAAGTTTCATATTTTATTTGTATTTTGGTCCTTACAATTACACATCATATTTATAATAATCTTAAATATTTATTATTTATAGTTTTAATCTTTAAAAATTATTATTTCATAAATAATTCATAATTATTTTTATAAATTTACAATTTGTATATGTTTTTAATTTTTTTTTTTGAAACATCAAGATAATCCTTAAAATATTTTAAAATATTTTATTTGTATTTTAATATTTAATTATATATTTCTATTTCTAGTTTTATATTTTAGTGTAACATTTTATCAAATAATATTTCTATAATATTTTTATACATGTGATAGTTATTTATAAAAAAAATAGGAATTTGAATTAGTTATGACAAATATAAGGACTATTATATAAAATACAAATAATTTTGAAGTTAGATTTGAAGTTTTGTTTTTGGAGTATAATACTTTCAAACTTTAAATATAGAATTTTGTAAACTCTATAGTAGAAAGTATTTTTGGAGATGCTTTTAGAGAGAAAAAAAAACAAGTTTAAAAAGTATTTATTTCAAGTTAGACAGCTTGTTCACTAAATTTGTAGAAATAGACACCAGTCAATTGCTACTACAAGTTTGAAGAACAAATATACGGATATGACCCTTAAATCCTTAATTTAATACCGTCCACGAATTAAAGTTTAATCGAGAAAAGATGGGAAACTTGTGCAACATAGAAGAACGTCTCTCTCTCTCTCCCCCACTTTTTTTCTTCGCCGTTACCCACATAGAAGAACGTTAGTTTTAAAAAGAAATACAAGATCTTAGTTTTTGAAAAACGAAAGTATTATCTAAACAATTGTTCAAAAAAAAAAAGTAGTTTCTAAATAAAACATTATTAAGAAAAATAAATGAGAAGTAGACTTTCATAAAAGTGAGAATTGGAAACAAAAAATGTGTTTAGCAAATAAATAATTATATATATATATATAGGCGAATAGTCTTTTATAATCAAGATACTTGTGATGTGATCGAGCAGTTTGCTCATAACGTTTTTTTGTTTGGACAGAAAAATAAAAATTTGCTCATAATGTTATAGCAGAAAAAACAAATATGCTATAAATATTTGATGTTGTTAATTGTAAACGAAAAACTATGTCATCCAATCTTGTTTTCATGTTGTTGTATGAATGAAATATGCCACTAATATAGTTTTTTCTTTATCAAAGCCACTAATATAGTTATCGATTTAATCATGAACTAGATTCTAACCCGCGCAACCGCGCGGATCTTTGTTTTCAATTTTATATATATAAATATTTATTTTAATTTATTAGTGGTACACGTTTTAATCAATTATTTAAGAATTTATATAATTATTTCAAATAAAATAGTTTTATAGTTTACATCTTGTAATTAAACAATTTTTAAAAATCATATGTATTTTTCGCTTCTTATTATATATTTATTTTATTGTATTTGCATTTAGTTATTAAAAAAAACTAATATATACATAAAAAAATATTTGAAAATTATTTTGTATTTTAATTTATATTAAATTTAGACCCATCCGTCAAAGCTGCATTTTCTTTTAGCAATATTTATTACGTTAATTTCTTTTAGATAATATATTACTGTATATACAAAAATCTAAGATCTGTAAATGTTTATACATGTATTATATAGTTTGCTAATATTATTCCATCTTACCAACATATTATATTTTTGAACAAAAACATTTTAACTTAAAGAAAAATAAATATATAAATTTATCAGTTTAATATATTTTTACATATTTACCTCAATATAATAATTTATATGATTTATAATGATTAAATAATAGATAAAAATATGATAAAATTTTATTTTTATTTTATAAACGATAAGTGGATATAATAATACATAATAATTGTTCATTGCTAATTAAAAAATTAAAGAAAATATTTATATAAACCTTTTGAAATTAAGATATTTTAAAACTATTTGTCAACAGATTTTTAGAATTTATATATATATATATATATCTAAACTAATGATTTAATTAGTCAAATATTTACATATAATTAAAAATAATATAGTGTCAAAATATTTTGAAACAGATTTGTCAGAATTTTGAAACTTAATATTAATATTTAAAAAGAAAAGATATCAAAAGATATTATTATTAAAATAGTTCAAATATTTTATATATTATTAGTTTTAATAAAATATTTAAACGATTGTTCAAATTAAAAAAATTCACACATGAAAGAATTTATGACTTCTATTTTAATAGATAAAACGATATTTTATAATAATTAGAATTTTAAATTTAACTATCTTTGGAAATAAAATTGAAAATACCAAAAAATTGTTAACTTTTTAAAGAAATAACCATTGTATGTCAAATAAAAATAAACAGATAGAAATATTTTATAATTAAATTTTGTAAACTTTCAATAATAATCCAAATAAAAAACACACACATGAAATAAGTTTAGAATAGTATAGATGTAGACGCTTTCCAGCTATATCTACTAACTTGGCTCTTTATTATAATGTATGATATACCCAAGATCAATTATAAAGTATCACAAAACAGTTTGAGGTGATTAAAAAATGATGGTGTGAACCGGTTAAGTCAGATTTTGTTTTGTTTATTAATGTATGATTTATGCAAGTAGCAATCGAGTAATGTATTAGAAATGATGATCAATACTGGTTAAGTCTGATGTATTGTTCTGTTTATTAATTGTATAAACCGAATAGGTTGAAAAGTGAACATAATCATGTATTAAAAATATACTAGATTTTTACCCGCGCAACCGCGCGGGTGTTTATTTTCGTTTATAATTAGTTATATAAATATTTTCTTTTCACTTGTAAATTGGTATATATTATAGTAATCACATATTTACGATATGTATAGTAACATTTTTTCAAACATAATAATATTATATAATACGTGTTTTAATCAAATAGATTGTTTCAAATTTTCTATATTATACATGTTTTTCAAACATGTGTTTGTTTCTTCTTCTATGTTTTATTGTTTGTTAGATTAGTATTTCTAAAGTAATATAAATAGAGCTTGATTAATATTAGTATACTTTAATTTGCAAAGATAATATAAACTTCGAAGAATTTTTTGCTAAAAACTAAACTTATAGTTTCATAAATTAATATTATAAAGAATTTTATTAAAAAGGATTTTTTTAAAACAATTTCTTTTTTAAACAATATATAATTTTAAAAATTTATATTGAAATAAATTTATCTAATATATATACCGTGTAAATTTTGTTACGGTATAGAAATATTCCATATTACGAATATGTGATTTTTGTTAATATATTGTGGATGCATTTAACTATTATTGACATATTTACTTATAAATAATAGAAGATTCCTAAACTTATATCTATTGACATATTTTGCGTGACTAAGTTGGAAGGTGTAGGGTAATCTACCAAAACCAAATTGTTAAACGTATCTTTGTTATTACAGATATGATTTTTCATAAGATATCATAATGATAAGATTATTAGAGAGTTAATGTAACATGACTTTCTAGTAATAGTCCATTTTTAAAAAAACCACACATGAAGTTAAGTCATGACTTCTGTTTTAATATATAAGATATACTAAGGTTGACGGTCAGAACTGG